GCCAGTAATTTTGTCACGACTGGCGTTAGGCTAATACCCCTGTGGTTAGAACAGTCTGCTACTTCTCTTCTTGTATATTGCCACTATAATCGACTCGCACCAATTAGCCGGCACACTCGCTTCGTTCCAGATACGTTCGAATAAGGTCAGTGCTTTGCAGAGGACCTCATCTCCATCCTTAAATAGTGCAGGTAGGAGGGAATCCGGGCCGGCGGCATGAAAACGATTAAGGGCTGTGATCGCATTTCGGACCTCGGCCTCCGACGGAGGCTCTAAACTAACCGTCCATGGCTCATCCAAGGTGTCAGCAGGCAAACGTTACTCGGGCCTACACATACATAGAGGGAGGCATCAACAGTACGTCGGTGTACAGTACCGATGCCTTGCAGCTTCGCGATCACAACCAGTTGCGCGTAGGCTGGATATGTCGCGAGGTCTTTCGCGAATTCGAACTGATGGCTTTCGGATTACAAGGCATGCGCTCAATCCCATCAGCCACCAGTCGACTACAAACATGGATCCGACTAAAAATGGGATATCTAGATAAGTAGGCCAGATATTCCCAAGGTAGCCGACATAAAAACTTGCGTACCTCGGAAGAATAAGTGACTGAATAAGCTTGTTTTGACTATAATCCTTACAGCCGAAACGTAGAAGAGACTTCTGGTATAGGTACAGAGAAGTGGTTCAGTGCTAGAAAGAAAATGACGTGTTTAGAACGGAATGAAGTAAACAAACAGGGATCTAAATATGTAAAGCTGACGAGTGAACAACTCAGCTTACCTTAAGGTATACAAGAAATCTAACGAGTGAACAATTAGAATAATAACGAAGATTCGAACCACCGAGAGAAAGATGGAACAAACTAGATGCCATCACAAGCTGAAACGGACACGAATTTAAGAAACCGTTAAGCAAATGTTTGGTGCACCTGCCCGGACAAGTAATAGAGCCAAGAACTTCGAAGAAACTGATAATCCGAACTTCAGGCGAAAGTGAAGTACATATACGCCAGGTGGTGCAAAACTGCGAGTAAACCCGATGCATGTTTAATACCAAGAAATGCATCCGTTCAGTAAAGTGGATATCTATAAGTTCCCTTGCCATGTGAATTCTGCCAGCTCGAGTTGACGGCAAATAATAATCGCAGAAGCAAAGAACCTCAGCAATTAATCCGCGAGGAGCACAGTTTTCGCGAACCCATGAATTATATATGCACACTCATCCATGACAGTTTGGTAGCAAGATGTCGCCGGAGCAACGTGAACAAACTCAACGAATTCGGGCCCTTGTATTCAAGAAAAGTTCGCCACTCCATTATCCAGGGCTAAACGAGACAGGCTTATGCCTAAAATCGACACATGGCCACCGCTACATAAATATGTGAACACTACGAGTACGCCTTGAAACATAGGTTTATCCTACCATCGAACTCATCATATCACAATTCAGTTTTACTGACGTGTAACTTTACAAAGTACATCACAAACCATATAAATAGGAAGTGACCACCTACAGTTGGAGAGAAATGAGAAGCCTGAGACCAACTTCTATGGTTGTTTCGGCCTTAGTGGGGTTTTTCAAATGAAGCACGCTGTTGAAGAACGAATCACAAGAATGTAGGAAAACTCCAGGTTGCGGACCCATTCCTTGAAGAATTAAGTGTAAAGATTAATGACAGGGCTATCGCTATAGAGATCATCCTGCATCACTTTGTGGCATAATAGGGCTTCAATAAAACAACAAGTTATTAAACAACGATTTATTGCTGTCCAAGAAAACCAGGTTGGGTTCGCAATGGTCGACACTTAGCAAGTGCCTGACTCCACTTACAACAGATGCCATTAAAAAGTGGCAAGCGAAAGGTGATATGAGAACGCTGTTTGGTCATAAGTGTCTCGAAGTCATGCACATTACAGGTCTTCCGCCAGACAGCAGACAGGTGTAATTTAAGTTTTGAGCAGAACAATGCCTAGGATAATGCCTGACCATTCAAATTTTGGCCGCACATATCAAAAGCAAAAGCCAGATACGACCGGTGCTGAGTAGCCAAAGAACTCAGTGCGACGGATCAACGTAGAGGCGCAAACCTGTCAGTATAAGGCGTGTTTTCGGTCATTTGCGGAAAAATGAAGTAGGAAAATGAATAGAAGACCTTGCCAAATGTGCTAATAAAGATAACAGTGCATCCTCACCACTACTACTGTGCTTATGTCGTCAGTTTAGTCATAGAAACTGACCGAGAAGTTGTCGATTAGTGACTAACTTGTGCTACCAGCCGTCTCAGTGAGGCCCATTCTGGCTGCATATGTGTCCTTAAAAATTGTGTACCCTTACGTTTCTGGATGGCCGTAGCATGCGAGTGAAGGTGAATGAGGTCTACTCCGCTTCCGTTCCCATGACCAGTGGGGTTCCACAAGGCTCTGTCCTTGGCCCCGAGCTGTTTAGTCTACATTAATGACCTTCCATCTGTACTCCAGACCGATTGTCTGCTTTATGCCGATGACCTGAAGATATGGATGGAGGTACCAACACCTGAAGCCGCTGACCGACTGCAAGAGAAGCTAGACCTGCTTCAAAGCTGGTCTTCGGAATGGCGTTTACCCATCAATCGTGAGAAGTGCTCTGTCTTGCCGATCGGCTCTTCTGACCCATTTGGCGCCTATCACATTGGTGGTTTCTTGACCAGGAATGCTGCTTATGAGAAAGACCTTGGTATACTCGTATCTCCTGATCTGCGTACCACCGAGAACACACTGAGGAAGACAGCGGCTGCGAATAGGATGTTCTGTGCCATTAGGAGATCATTCTCCCGAATGACTCCAGAGGTCTTCAGACTTCTTTTTTTCTTCCCATGTGCGCCCTATCCTCGAGTACGGTTTGCCTGCTGCCTACCCTTTTACAAAGACTGAACGTGTTATGATTGAAAGAGTTCAGCGACGAGGCTCGAAATCCATCTCAGCGCTCCGTGACCTGCCTTACACTCAGCGTCTTCGACAGATGAACATGTTTTCCTTGGACTACCGTCGACGTCGGGGTGATCTGATTTACACCAGACGGATATTGCGAGGACAGATGGGGAGTGAACTGCATGAGTTCTTCCAGCTCTGCGCTGATAGCTCGACACGGGGTCACTCTTGGAAACTGTTTAAGCCGAGGAGGGTCCGGATTCATTCTGATTTCACCCTATCGACTCGAGTGGTAAAGGACTGGAACAGCTTGCCTGAACTGGTCGTTAGTGCACAATGTGAGGAAAGTTTTAAGAAACTATTAGACTCCTATCTGCTGAGTATGCAAGGATCCTGCTGTTTTCGATGCGACTGTAATGGTCCCTTGCGGAATACCGCCTCGCAGCATGTCGCACAATCCTTGCTCTGAACGGGATGTGATGGAGCTGACACAGGATTTCCTATCTGCTCTCTACCACACCAATGAACTCCAATAAGGCGTTACTACGCTTTGGGAATCGAGCTTCGCTGAGCGCGAACTGTATTAGCGACCGGCAGAAATGTGCTTATGCTAGCAGCTAAAGAAAAGCTAGAAAATTTTCATGAGTAGGCGAAAGTCGTCAAAAAGGTGTTTTAATGAAACGGCCAAGGGCACAATAGACAGTCCCTCGTGCTATTCGAGAAGCGAGCTAGATACTGATTGAAAGAGAAGAGAAGAAAGGCACCAGCAATACGCCGTTACGCAGTGCCGACGCTTCGCTGCCGCGAAAACACCAACAGTCGCACGTGGGCTAATGTTACTACGATGGTCGCCCAGCCCCTACGCAGGTTCGAACTCGCGCCGACAGGTTACGAGATAAGCTCGTACTGATTCAAGTTCAAGTTAAATTTGGACAGGAACGGTAGGAAATTCCCATGGGTGTTCCCTCTTTAATGCGTCGTCGAACCAGTATAGAGTTCACGGGATCGATTTGAAACTGTGGAAAACCAAATCACTACACACGAATTACATCACGGTCAGCCAATCAATGCCCACGCGGCCTGCACTAGCAGTCGCCACCCTACCGGCCACGCGAATAAGAATAAAGGCTAAAAGAACGAAATCAGAAAAACAGAATGACGTTAATTGAATACCAGTGAGAATGTTTAGCTAAGAAGACAATAGTAATAAGTAGTTAAGGTTAAGAAAATGGATGTAGAAGTTAAGAACTAGACGGAACTATCAGAAGCTGCAACCCAAAGGTGTCGAGTCGATGTTCAAACTCCTTCACCATTGGTATTAATACTACTTCACTGGGTAGTGGGTTCCATGAGTAGATGACCCTGCGTGATAAACGAAAGTCAGCTCTAACGCGATCTGCTCTGGGCTTATGCAACGTCAGAGGTTGACCACGAAGAGATGGTATCTGAGCCGGATGGAACAGTAGTTAGATCAGGCCCAATCTTGCCCGTCAATATACCATAAGTAAGGATCAGGTCGCCCCGAAGGCGCCTATAGTGCAGCGAGAACGTCTGCAATCTGAGCAAACAATCAGGATACGTGAGCTGCCTCAATCCTTGCAATATTTTAGTACCAGTCCTCAGAACTCGTTCGACTGACATCTTGTCACGGACCAAGCATGGAGGACAGATCTGCACGCAACACTCCAAGCTAAGAACAATATAACAAATATTTCACTTGTTATGATGCCCGGCGACCTGCGGATCATCCACAGCGTTCGGAAACGTTTTTGAGTGGCGGTCTAGTTCTATCCAGAGTTGAAGTCAGAGAAAAGCGAGATCCCCAAGTCGATTCATCGAAACTCTATTTTCGTCAAGTACATAATGAGTTGTGAGAGTGCTTGAGGCTATGCATAGGACCGAACACTTAGCAAGATTGATTGGCGGCTACTACAAATCTGATCAATCACAAAGGTTGGCAAGATCTGTCTGCAAAGCCACGGAACCATCACAATCGTTCACTGGATTGTGTGGCGTCTAGATCAAGCCAGTCTTACAATAGTGAGTAGGATAAAAATGTCCACAGAAATAAAGGACAGGAAATAAACTTACCCCGTTTGAAGTTGTCAGCCAAGTAGCGTGGCAATAAACAATTAGTTGAAATGGAGCTGCCAGAACACAAATCGTGTGAGGCTGAACCTGTAGTATATACAGAGCAAGTAGCCAACGATTTATAACGATCAAAGACAGTATGCGAGAAGGCGGGAGTAGTGTTGAATACATGCGACTCTGAGGATGCAGAGACTGGATGCGTGGTGGGGAGATTATCATGCTCCGTGTCTGGAGAAACAGTTCCCAATATGTCCGCTAGAAAGGCATCTAACGATTGCGAGTCGTCCGAGTTTTGGTCAGTACTATCCCTGAAAACTGAAAGGGTGGTGAGGAAACCCAAGATTACCTGAGCGACCTGTTGAGATGTAATCACAAAACGGAAATAAGCAATGCAAAGAAGAGCATAGATTTTGTATTTGACCGCTACCACTGCTAACCGTCAGGAGCTTATTGAAGTTCCCCGCTTTCAAGCATCTCGGGCAAAGGCCACTGCAGTTGTCAGCCGTATTCAAATGCGAGGAAAAGCAACATCAATAACGACTTGCAGACAGTATCGTGGAAGCAGTGGCGACTGCGAATAGCATTCCAATACTTTCAGAGAAAGGAGCGGTCAGATTAAGGTTCAGCTAGGACTGGCATGATAGGAAAATCTCGTGTATGTTCCTTCTTGAACGAACCGTTGGCCAAGAAATGATAAGTTGCTAAGAGGTCTTGATGGATCTAAAACGAAGCACCCGAATCGCACTCTGGTCAAGTTCACGTTAAGGTTCAAGTGGGACTGGAACGATAGGATTATCCTGTTAGTGTTCCTTTTTCAGCTGGTCGTTGAACTAGAAGTTGCCAGACTACGAAATACGGATGGACTGAAAAAAGAGACCGCAACACACCCTGACCAACCAATTAATTCCCACGGATCCTGCCCTAGTTGTCCCTGATATGCCGGTTACGTGAAGTAAGGAAAAGTAAACTCAGAAGGCAAAAGAAAACCTGGAAGGAGCTTAGCAAGTAGAATACCAAGATAGTTGCGTCATTAAAAAAGAAACTGAAAAGTGAGGGTGAGTCAGCTAGGAAAAAGAAAAGGTTTGCTTTTGCCACCCAAGAGCACAGAGCTGGCGTGTAAACCTTCAACCATAGGTTCCCTAACCACATGATCTAGAAGCGAATTCCAGCGACCTGTAACTCGGCGTGACAGACGTGTTTCCGCCTTAATCATATCAGACAGTGGTTTATGCAGTTTCAGTGGGGGACCGCGGAGATTAGGTAGCCTAGCGGGACTAAATAGCCCTGATAAATCCAGGCCGAGCTTATCCGTCAAATACGATAAGTGAGAAGCAGGTCATCTCGTTCTTCGGTAGTGCATTGAGTACATCCCCAACCTGAGCAAGCGTTCAGGACACGCCTGTCCCCGTAGACGTTGCACTAACCGAGTGCCCACTCGTAACACCCTCTCCAAGTCCATTTTGTCTCGGTTAAGACATGATGGACAAGCCTGGCTACAATATTCCAGGTGGGGTCGGACGAATGCCGAGAATCGCTTCACCAACAAATTGGCCGTTAGGATTCCTAAAGAGAGGCGGATAAACCACATCATACGAAACCCCTACAAGCAGCCTTCTTCTAATTGTCTCTAGAATGAGGTGCTGATGAGTGTACGAACCCTAAGTCAACCTGCTGCGTGACAACATGGTGTTCATCACCGCCGACATTATATCGTGTGAGAGGCTTAGCAGCTCCGATTCGGAGAACAGAGTAATTGGCCCTATTTATGGGCATCAACCATAAGGTAGACAATTCCCAGAACCTATCCAAGGCACGTTGAATTGCCCCAGGACCTCCGGGATATCCACAATATTCCAGAACTTAAGGTCCTCATCAGACATTAGTTATGACGCTCCAAGCGCCCCCGGCAAGTCATTTACATAGATCGCGAACAACGATGGCGCCCAATATTGAGCCTGCGGAACGCCACTAAAGAGACCTTGCCTGAGCGAAGGCTGCTCCCCACTCGTACTCACTGTTCCCGCCCTTCAAGGAAGGCAGACACCCATTGAAGGGCTTGACCAGATATACCGTAAGATCTCAACTTTAGTGAGAGTCGAAAATGAGGAACAGTGTCAAAACTTTCGAAAGGTCCACGAATAGCACGTCTACAACGTGGCTACTGTCTACCGCTTCTGCCGAGCTTTCACGAGCTACAAGTAGGTTAGCCTGACATGAAAATATCTTGCGGAACCACTGTGGCAAAACACTTAGAAGGTTGAATCTATTCAGGTGGTTCTCCACTGAATCCCTTATCAGTTTATCAAACAACTTGACTACTACGGTTTTCAAACTGACAAGCCTGAGTTCGCGGGCAGAGCGCTGTCCTTGCCCTTACAAAGCGGACGGGTAATTGTCATCTTCTATTCCGAAGGCAGGATGTTGCTATCCAGCGATACTGAAAACAAGCATGTGAGAGGACCACTCAGTTCAGTGGCGAATTCATGCAACCGCCTCGGATGAATTGAATCAGGAGGGAAAGCTTTAACGGATTACTGCTTTGCAGTAGCTCGAATACCTGAGTCGCCATTATGCTAAATTCAGCTAAACAAGAATCCTCTGGAAATCTTGAAACCACTTCAGCTTGTGGTTGTGGTTTCCCGAGTAAAGAGCCCCGTATATTGATCATCAATTAAACAAGCCTTGTCATAATCGGTTTGCGCAAGTTCCTTGCATACACGTACACACACAATGACATACATACCCCCTACACAAACACAAACAGCTATTTCAAACCTATTGGATTTTGCACGTTCTTGATCATGCATCTTTATGTCAAAATGATCATGCCTGTAAAGGCGTGCCTCACCTTGTTGAGAATAAAAGATTTATTTATTTATTTATTTATTTAAAAGGGGGATTACTGTGCCTTTCTTGTAAGAGCACAATATGACGAAATGCTTCGACCTTTCTGAGGCTTAGCTCTCCTGTTAAGTAGGTTTGACGCAAGTGTTCCCAACGTAGTCCAAACCGACTGTATGGGATGAGGCTTTGGCAATAGATAAGCTATCACACTAGCTTTTTATCTGACCGGAGCTGTTTCAGTACATCAGCAAAAGTGAATGAATGATAATAGAAGCCAGGTGCAGTAATGTAGACGCAAAAAGTAAGTGACGGCTGTCCACCTACCGAGCTGTCTGGCACATGGGTCCTCGGAGCCAGGTAAAAGAATCCTTGCGCATAGCTGGCCTAGGTAAGGCCTAGCGCTTAGTTACCTACAGAGGTGTAACCATCTCAAACTCCAGCCTCTATGGCTGCGGCGCATTATCATAAACCTGTGCTTCTTACATAAGTTAATATACCAAGCGGTGCACAGTGATATCCCCAGCCTGACACTGAGCAGATGATCAGAATTCAACCTCCGAAACAAGCACTGCACAGTTGCCCCGTTGCCAGCGAGGAAGAAACTACGTTCACGTTTCTTCCTTGTCGCTTATGTAAATATCTGGAACAAATTACCTTCACAGCTGCTGGAGATTCATAATCCACAAGCTTTCAAGCAGGAGGTACGAAAGTTTATGTGCCTGGATAACATAAGACGCCTTTTCAACATATGTGATTCTGATGACAACCTTTTTGAGACCGGCCCCGATGGGGCATAGATCACATTTTGGTCAGCTCTGGCGCAACTTTGTATTGCGCTCAACTAGGCTTCATCACAGGAGCATCTTGGGCTCACAGGTCCTCCCCATACTTTGCGGTCCCTGTCACACCACGTGAGAGATCTTGGCCCGATCAGTTGCACGCATCTTACAGATGTTAGGACTGCTAATCCGACCACAAAAGGTATTCAGCCTACCCCAGTAGTAGCTGAGCGCTTTACTGGCTCCCACCGACACTTAGTTAAATAGGAAGTCTTGAAATAGTAGACGCTACCGCAAAGGCAACCTGGAAACACTAATCGGTAGCTCAAATCCTTTGAAAGCTCCTTCTCGACGTCCAGTTTCTTACTGCTCAACAGATCAGCACGTAAAGCAGCCTTGTACTATTGAATGGGAGCATCGTAAGCCTGTAGGCACTGACCAGGTAGGATATTGCATAGCAATGGGGAAGCAATCCGAACGGACAAACTTTACTTCACTTCCTCCTTCTCTTCTACACTTCGGTTCCTTCGTCTCCATCTTTACCCCTTAGTATTTTCCAAATACCTAGTCCACTTGGTCTCTTGCGAATACTTGTACTTTTGACCCATGAGTCACGTCTACTAAAAACATTTTAACAACATTAAGCCTCGTGTGAAATGCCAGGTTCTAGCGTTGTTGTCCACACATATGGTGCACCCGTAAGTTACCATTTATCTGTCTAAAATAGTCGCATAAATTGCCTGCTTTATAGGTATTTCTACCAGCCTACGTAATCGGCATCTACTAGTTGCCCATAACCAATGCCCACCCCTAGGTTTAAGTACTCGCTACTTTACACCACTGATTATATAACAGGGCCACCTACCCACCTCGAAGGCAATATCACCATAACCTATATTCAGGCATTTACTCTCCACTTAAGCTTCCTTGGCCCGTACATTTAGTTTTATCTGAGTTATACGTATGCCCATCACTATCGGAAACGCTGGTAGACAGGCATTATGAAAAACCAGATCCTTTTCTTCAATCCTTTATGCCTGCACAACAATTTTTCCGGATTCCCTTTCTCTGGCAAAAAGCTAACCATGCGGCAGTGAGGCCCCTGTCACCTGGAAAGCTAGACACCCAGATATTTTGACCACCACTTCTTCTTTCCTTGGCCGTAATTTTAACCTTTACCTTGCTCCAAAGCCTACCATACGTAATGCGTAATGGTGGGTGAACAACCAGCTCCCCCTTGTTTTCCGTTATCTTCTCTGCTTGCGTTATATTATTGTTCATTCACGTTGCCTGACAATGTGGAAGCTTCCCACCAGGAAACCTCCAAGTTAATAGTTGTTGTGATCTCCCAGTTTTCTATTACCTTACACTGGTGAATATCACTTGCACTTGTATCGGAATCCCAACCAAGAGAATTAGAGCTCAAAATAGCAACGCGATGCAGAAATGGTGTGCTTTAACACATGAGGCCCAATAATCCGTCACAACTGAGAAAGTGTAACCTCTATAAGATGAGGTGATCATGCCTAACCAAAGCGGCATTCGTGGTATTTCCCACCTGAATGCATTTCGCTAATTTTTTGGACACCTATTTCTCTATTATCATTAGAAGACATCTCTAGCTCATTAGCATTGGTGGCACATCCATTAAGATAAATAACATAACCTCAAAGTGCTGAAACTGATGATGTTTCTCCAGGGAACGATTGCGTTATTCTGGTCCAACCCCACAGGCACTTGCATCCGACTCTCAGCTAAGAGAAATAGAGCTCTAAACTAGCAACTTAATGCACAGTTGTGTGCTTTAGCACCTGTGGCCCACTAATCGGTCATGCTTGAGATGGCGCAACCCCCAAAAGAAGTGGTATTCGTGTCTAACCAAAGCGGAACCCAAGGTGTTTATCAGCTGGACACATTTTGGGAATTTTCTCACGTTAGTTTTTTTATTATCACTGGAAGAC